TTTACCTTCTTTTGGGACAGCACTAATATCCCACAAGCAAATAGTCTTAAAACCAAAACAAAACAAATTTGAATCTTGAGACAGAAATTCTCATCACCTCCTGCCTCCTCCCCCCTCAAGAAAGAAAAACATTTTTAACCTTTTGCCAAGGGTCACCAATAAAGTGCAGGTTGTACCCCAGCTAATATTTAAAGTACTCACATGATCATCAGAAGCACTAAGCAAATGCCCACTCAGGTTTGGGTTCCATGACAGCCCATAACCTTCTTTCTGGTGTCCACGAAGACGCAGATCAGGGTTACACTCTCCAGAAGGGTCTGTAAAGCAGCAGCATAAGAACTCCAATGCTTAGTATCACTTTCAGTGCATCGTGGAATACCTGGCATTAAGTTTTACTGTGCTTTACTAAACTTTGCTTTCTATTTCCAACAGGATGCCTCTTTGTCCTTTTGAGCATTATCCCCACCCTACAAATCACCTCATTAAAACAAAATGCAACAAGACAGCACAGAGCAGTTTGTCTGCTTAAACAGACACAAATTGCAGATTTTTTCAGAGCTGCAAATTTTTAGGCTGGATGACCTAGCAGTGGCCCCTTCTAAATTAGTGCTATGTTACCTGCAGAAGAGTCAAAGAAGCCCAGCAGCCACCTTCATACTCTGGCACGATGCACCTGGTCTAGCTGGATGAAGGAGCAGCAGCAGCCCAACCCAATTACTGCTCAGAAAATTCTTCCTAAATATTCTGCTGGTGGAGTATTGTTCTTTCTCTCATCATCTCCAACCCTACTTCAAAAGCGATAAATACACTTCTGATCTTCCCCACAACTGGCAGAACTAGTTACTCTGTGTGATCTTGCCAAGCTCATCAGTAAATGAGAGGTAATATCCTTGCAGATCAAGACAACAGTTCAGCTACCCAGATCATATCGTTTCCAGCAAGCCACCTTCTACCACTCCAAATATCATCACACACACTGACACGGCAAGACACACTAAAACAGCAAGAGAAAAACATGTACCTTTGTACTGATACACATCAGATATCTACATTCATGTCTCTACAAAATAACCTTTCACACTAAATGCCCACTTTCCTCTAAAATTACAAGTGATATAGAATCCACAGAAGTTTTCAACCTCTTTTGCACTACATCAGCTTTTTCTTAAGAGTATTTTCTTAAGAAAAGGCTGTCGTTTATATTCTTATGACCTCTGAACCACAGACATGATAAAGATTCAGGCACCTGGCTTAGAAGGGTGTTTGGTGTAATCGAAGACGAGGACATCGCTGGATGGAGTCTTTGTGGCAATGATGCAGGGGTTCTGTGGCATGTAACGCGCTCTGTTCACTTCACCCTCGTGATTTATCTTGATTTCAATTTCAATTTTTCCACTAACTGACCCAAAGCCTCCGAACTCTGGAAAAAAAAAAGAGGTATTTAATAGTTGTAAATAATTAGTCATTTTCAGAACAAGACACAAAGATCCAGACTCAGTTACTGGTACTACCAAGGACTTATTTTGGGTGAATAGTCATAAGAACAAGCAACTAGAAGAACCCAGTTTTCAAATGGCACATTGTCTTAAATATCTCTATTTATAACATAAAAACATCAGGACTTTGGCTAAGTTTAGAGACAAACTGTTTCCTCCTAAAACAGCACAAGCCCCAGATTCATCCTACCTAAAATTTTGATCTGTAACGAAGGTATGTGCTGTATATTTGAAATTAATGTGTTGTAACTGCACTTTCAAATACAACAAAGTTCAGCCTTGCAGAACAGACAAAATTCTGATACAAAGAAATTGCTTCACAAAGTTTAAAATGTGAAACTATGTAACTTGCTAAAGCCACCTTATATCTCTATAGTTAGTTATAGCAACTTTCTATTTTAAGGAAACTGCACAGCAACATTCTGGCAGAAAGAAGGCTTGCAATTTCCTTTTTTTTTTTTTTTAAATCAGAATAGTGTATTTTTGAGAAATATCAAGATAGAATGGAAACAAATTACTTATTAGACAACATTGTGTTCATCAATAACTGAGAGGCCCAAAGATCAAAACACAAAATGCATAATCCAGGCTTCTGGTAAAAACAAAAGCTAAAATTAGGTCGTTGAGGACTTGCACCATGTAGAAAGATTGATTGAATCAAACAAACGTGAGAAGTGCCTAACTTGGAGCAATGCTGACAGCCAACTAAGATTACAGAAAGCATCAAATTCAAGGCCAGTTCACTGAACAAAATACAGTCATCTTTTCATCCAAGCCAGGCTGGCACAAGTATCAGGCAGCAGAATTCAGACTAGAGGAGAACATTTGAAATGATACACTGCTCTGAAATAAAACATCCTTTTACGTGAGTGACTTTCTCACTGAGTTTATGTAATGCAAAAATGATGATAAAAACCAGGTTAAGCAGTTCTCCAAGAAATTCATTGTCGACTCATGATGGAAAATAGAGGGGTGAAGTTTTTCCCTGCATACTTTTTCCAATAGATCTTCCAAGACATTATGCAGATACATCAAACACAATATTTGTCCTTTAAGTAATGATAACAGAAATAAACGGGCCAGTTCAGGAGTAGTATCTGAATTTTATTGCCTGAATGTTAAGAAAAGAGAAATATTCTGCTGAGAGGAGGAGGAAAAAATGGTTAGAACTCCACCTGGCTGACACCTTTGGCCCCTTACCTCCTTTCTCACTGTCATAGTGTGAAGCATCAAACTGCGCATCGTCATTCGGCAACTGCACGCTAGCTATCACGAGATGATTTTGTTCATCTGAAGTATGGGTGCCCAGCACTAACCGATGAATACTGAAGTCTTTGCCCTCGGGTCTGCAAGAGAAGAAAGTTGAATGAGAAACAAAAGGGGTTCACATAAACACTGAGCTGACCGCAATAGCTTTTGATGACAGTGATTATACTGAAGTTATATCTATATTTATTTCTGTGTTAGAAGAAAGGAGACTTGTTTTTAAAGAAGGTGAAGTGGGAAGAAGAAAAGCATCAAATCAAGGGTGTGAAAATGTCTTCTCAGTGATAAAAGGCTTTTATTTTCACAAAATGAAAATGTCTGCACTGACTCTAGTATTTGTGGTCCTCAACTTGCTGATGGCAAGGCAAGGTAAGGATACAAAAAGCAATTAAGACAGAAAAGAATCATACAATGCCTCGCTTCAACAAAAAAGGATCCTAGATTTACAGTTTATCGTGGTTTAAAGGAGCAGCTCACCTTGTGACATCCGGCAGCCACTGCGCAGTCAGGCTGGGCCACTCCAGAGCGTGGGTCATAACCAAGTCGTACAAGAAGGGAGTATTCTTCTTCCATATTTTGTACTCTTCGTTGATCACGCGTTCCTCCACCGCATCATCAAAGGCTGCTAATTTTTTTTTTTTTTAAGAAAGCACACATTAGCGTTGCGAATACATTTATAACAAGCACACAATGTCACAAACGGGCACTGAATGGAGAGAAAACCATTATGGGCACCGCTTTGTGGTCAGCCAGCCCTACGGGCACAACCCCGGGCCCCAACCCCGCTGCCTGAGGCGCTGCGGGGCCCGGAGCGCCCCGTGCAGGCGGGGGCGGCCCCGAGCTGCTACCGAGCGCCGCGGCCCGGCCGGAGCCTGAACCCAGCGGCCCGCAACCCCCCGGGGCTCCCCAGGACCGGGTGCCACCCCCAAGCCCCCCTCAGCCCCCTCAGCCCCCTCAGGCCCCGCCGCATCCCCACAGGCCCCGGTACCCCCCCCCAACCCGGTGCAGGCCCCACAGGCCCGGTGCAGGCCCTGCCCGCCGCGCGCCCCCTGGCGGAGCCGCCCCAGGCCCCCGAGGGCTTCCCCCGAGCTCGGCGGGGCCCGGCTGAGGCCTGGTGGAGCATCGGGGCCGGGCCGGGCCGTACCTTCCTTGTCCGCCATGGCGGGGCGGCGGCGGGCGCTGCGGGGCCGCGCGGAGCCGTCAGGCCGCGGCTCTATTGTTCCCTGCCCCCGCCGCCTGCCGCCCCGGCGCGCCGCGCACCCCCCGTTCGCGCGCCAACGCCGCCCAATCAGCGCCCGCCGCCGGGAGGCCGCGGCCAATCAGAGAGAGGCACGGGGCGGGGACAGGCCGCGCGCGGGGAGGGGGGAGGGTCACGTGGGATGGAGGGGATGGAGGGGGAGGGGGGTGAAGCTCCCCTGGGAGCCGCCATTTTGCGGAGGGGAAAGGGAAGGGGAGGGCGCCGCGAGCCCCTCGAGCGGATCTTAAAGGGGCAGCGCCCGCGGGCAGGGCCTGAATGGGGGGGGGGGCGGCTCCTGCCGGTAACGGGGGCGGTGTGAGGGGCCCGGCCCGGTCCTGAGCACCCCCAGAGCACCCCCTGGGGCCCTGCGCCGCCCGCAGTCGCCCCTCGCTGCTTCTTTCCCCCAATTTCCCTTCAGAGTATACAGATATAGTGTACCTGAAGGGGGGAGCCCTGTGTGGTGCTGTGACTAGCAAGGAGAAAAGGCTGAGGTGTATTGTTAATAAATATTATACGGCACCTATAAATCTAGTGTTTGTGTTGTTTGGGGAAGTCTTGGGCTCAGCTGTGGGTAAATCTGAAAATGCACAAAAATACAGAGAAAGAATAGTTACTGTACCTGAAAATCTACAGATCTAATCTGAGGAAAAATTAATTAGACTCAATCAGAGTCTCCAATCTAGGTTTGTTCAATTTATAGATACAAATTGGTATGAAACTCAGCAACTACTAAGGTCTGATCTGAGAATTAGGCTTCTAAATATCAATTCCTTTTTTTTTTTTTTTTTAATCAAAATCACCCCTTCCCCTCTCAAAAAAAAAAAAAAAAAGAGAAAAAAGGAATTCTGAGGGAAAATGAACACACAGGGTTTTATTTGTCATGCCCATTTTTCTAGGATCGAAGCCTTAAATGAAGTCCCTCTCTTGAAGGGGAAAATGCTTTTTTCTTTAAGGCTGTGTGGAAGGCTGCAGGGTTTCCATCCCAGCTCGGGGTCTGGAGGCAGCAGATCCTCCGGCTTGCAGTGGGCTGAGCACCCTCGGCTGTAAAACCTGGAAGCCGAAAATACCTGAAGCATGAACGTTTAATTCACCTCACAGCTGTTTTCATTATTTTTCATTATTGCAGTGTTTTGAGGCTGAATCCAAAGCCTGGTGAAGAAACGTGGTTCCTCCCTGCCAAGGCTGCGGTGCGTGCTTTCCGCCAGGACTGCAGCCCCTCGCCTCGCCGCGCTCTGACAGCGAGCATCATAACATACTGAGAAAAAAACACCAAAAAGGGTTTTTGCAACAGCAGCACGGGAGGCACGAGGCTGAGCGCAGGCGGCGGTGGCCATGTTCTGCGCGAGCAGGAAGTGGGCGAGCGGTGCTCGGCCCAGCAGCGATGGCAGGCGACGAGAGGGACTACAACCTGACGGCGGAGCAGAGGGCCACCAAAGCCAAATACCCCCCGCTCAATAAGAAGTATGAATGTGAGTGTTTTTAACGCTATCCCGTACAGCACGAGTGTGACGGTGCAGTCGGGGTGGGGGAGGAAGGAAGGAAGCAGGGTATGCTGTTTAGGTGCTTGTGGGGTTTTGTAGTATGGTAATTTTGTGTGTTTAGACTGCGGGATACATCTCTAGTTGAAAAGAGAGATGAGATACATCCATTTCTCTTTATGGAAGGTAGCTGCCTTTTTTGTTATGGCTGCTAAGGAAATCATATGAATAAATTAGTAAAGAGACTTAGGCTGAAAACTTTACCCTTTCGAGCTATTTCTTAGCTAGACATTACATTGTCTACTTCCCTTATATTAGAAGAGATAAGCAAGAGTGGGTTGGTCTTCTGTGTGGTTTTTGTTTTTTTTGGTATTTTCTTCTTCCTACATGTACTACTACAGGATCATTCCCTTGTATTCCCCACCCCTAGAATGACTTCTAAGAAATTTCAAGGCAAAGGGCGTCAGCCCAAGGGCCATCGTAAGACACTCACAGGAGACCACAGAGTCTGTTTTCTATTTGAGCAGTGTCTGTTTGCAGGGACAGTTTACATTACTCTGTTAGAAGATGTATTTTTAGGATGCGTTCAGATCTCTATTTGATAGCAGTGCAGAAATACGGTGACATATTACAATAGTTGCGTTGCTTCTATAACTGGAAGAGATTTGATTCTTCTTTTACGTTCACTGGAATTTGTTTGCTTTAGAGACAGTTGTCGAGAAACCGTTAATAGTGTATGAATGATCTAAACAGCATCAGAGGCATCATTCAGTTGGAGTGATCACAGCGTGGCATATTTACATCCCAAGATAGCCCTGTTTCTACCAACCTGGCCCGATTTTCCGTTTCTCTTCTTTCTGTAAGGGAATATAAATGACGTTCATGTAAAACTTGATACATGCTTGGGATGTTAAGCTTATACTATTAGTGAAGATTACTTTATATTTTGTATTACACACTTTTAAAATTTCTCCTTTTTGCATAATGGGTGTTTTTGGGTGTGGACAGGTACGCTTGTTCACTGAACTGTGAACGTTTGCAAATCTCATCCTCTGCATGAATAATTTTAAGTCCTGCAGACTTCAGCAAAAACTCTTTATTGCTGTTTTTTTTTTTTTTTTTTTTCAATTAACTTGTAGAAGCCTGTTGCATTACACCAGCCATACTCTGAACATAGGGCACATGTACATGTAGGGCACTGACACAATTTGTATTAAATGCTATTTTTTTTCTGCTGAGCAAAAGGCTTTACCTATGCTATTTTTCCTAATACACTGGAAGATAGATGATAATTGTTCACTGTCTCAGGATGAATGTAGAAAGTTATTATTATAACAACAATATTTTTATCCTTGTTTTAAAGTATATGTGGTGATGTCATGCCTTTTCTTTTTCCTTCCTCCTCAGATTTGGATCACACAGCAGATGTGCAGTAAGTATGGGCAGGTGGGATTTATCTATATGCCAAATGGGTTATTTCTTACACTGATACAAGTCTGGGGTGACTGTTGAAGACTGGTTACAGATGGACCTTATGGAACTAGGAAATGTCATGTACTGAGTTTTTTGGATTGCCTATTTAATTTCTGCTCTTCAGAGGGCATTGAACCACAATCTTGGTTTCTTTGCTAAAGTACTATTGCTGTGGTGCTTCTGTTCTTTGGAAGTGTCTTTTGAAACCTTCTTTTAAATGCTTGCCCTTCCAACAAATTTTTTCTCAGTAGTCTACTTTCATAGATACCAATTAGCTGTATTACAAAAAGACATTCCTACTGTCTTTTTTTTTTTTTTAAGTTTTCTATTTTCTCCCAATAAATTCTTCTCACGTACTGTAAGAAGAAAAATCTATGTAATCTACCCAAATGCATAGGTATAGAGGAGCATTTCTGTGCAGTCACTTCCTTTGTATTTGTTCTTATGTTCACATTTCTCACCTGCATAATACTTCTATTTATTTATTTATTGTTACAGTGTGGTAAATTATCCTGTGTCTCTTTAGGCTACATGCATGGGGAGACACTTTGGAAGAAGCATTTGAGCAGTGCGTTATGGCCATGTTTGGCTACATGACTGATACGGAGACTGTGGAACCTCTGGATACTGTAGAGGTAGAAGCAGAAGGTAAGACTTTTTATATTGGATTTTTAGGTGTGGTTTTGTAATAGTGGATGAAAATTCAATTAAGCATAACTAATTTGAATCTTCTACTTGGGCATAAGCTGTACATCAGCTGTACTCTTAAAAATGTTTGGGTGTTCTTACTGGGGCAATCAACTGACTGACTACCTTCTCTGCTTCAATCATGCAGGGCATGACATGTTGTCTCTTCTCTTTCACTTCTTGGATGAGTGGCTGTATAAATTCAGTGCCAATGAGTTCTTTATACCCAGGGTAAGTGTTTTGTTTTGTTCTATTTCCATTTTGTGGGACAAGTCAATTCTCTGATAGTACGGGCTCTGAATGCACTGTCCCCTTAGGGAAGAAAAAGGGACACAACAGATCACTTAGGTGTAAGGCAGAAGATACCAAGGCACAAAAAATTCAGAAATAAACACTTAGCTTTGTTTCCACAAAAAACAGTCGTTACCTGCCATTATACCTCAGTGGCAGCTCTTCTGTCTGTATGTTCCAAGTAGCAGTATGCATCTTTGAGAATGCTCAGATTTTCTGGTTTTAGCTTCCATTTAAACAGTAGAATATTCTTGTTAATGAGGTATTGTGCCTGAATATAGATGATGTTCTAACACATTTTTTCTCTTGCTTTCTCTGCAGGAGGTGAAAGTGCTTTACATTGACCGAATGCAATTCAAAATAAGATCAATTGGGTGAGCTTTAAGTGATTAACTAAGTAATGAATATCTTCCACTGAAGACACATGTTGCCCTCAGTCATCTCTCTGAAATACTGTGATGTACTGGGAGGGCACTGATGCTTTCTAAAAAGTGGATTGTGGACTCCTTTACCATTCTTTGAGGCTTTAAATCAAAGTCTCACTGTCCTTTGCTTGTCAATGAAACTAGTTGTAATATTTGATTAAATATTACCAATACGATCACCTCTTTTCTTTTTGCTTTTAAAGGTGGGGAGAAGAGTTCTCTTTACAAAAACACCCTCAGGTATGCAGTGATTCACCTGTACATCTTTATGTTTTAGGGGATAGGGAGGGGGTGGTGTCTTTTAAGTCAGACCTCTAAGTTGGCAAGAGATCCAAGTATAAATATATTTGAGTGGTATCACAGGCACTAATAATTTACATCCTGCTTTTTTTTTTTTTTGTGAGTACATTTCTGAACTGTTGAGCTGATGCTTCCTTCACACTGGCAAACTCAACAGTTTGTTTGTTTTTGTGATGTACGATAAAATAGTGAAACAGTCGATACTCAGAATGTTTACATGAGTTTGGTTCTCACATTGTTATCACAACTTCTTGCTTAGTCTTATTTTGCTCAGAAAATTCATGCTTTTGTGTCTTTTTCATTCTAGGGCACAGAGGTCAAAGCCATAACTTACTCAGCAATGCAGATCTGTGAAGAAGAAAAGCCAGAAGTCTTTGTCATCATTGATATTTAAGCAAGAGAAATGTAACTAAGCCGATACTTGTCATTGGTTGACAAAAGTCACAAGAAAACTGTAACCCCCATGAATGGGACTAAGGAATTAGCTGATTCAAATCATAAATTGAAGGGGGTTGTGGGAAATGTTATCCTGTATTTTGAATTGAGGATGGTGAGCCAGACCAACACCTGCATGCCAGGAAAAAAAGAGCTAGTTGGGTCTGGGGGAGATTCGAGAAGAGAATTAATGGGATGAAAGTCTCTCAGGAATGCTGGTAGTCAGCTTTTAAAGCTGATACATGTGTTGGGTGCTGTATGAACTAAGATAAATTAGTGGAGCTGCTAGCTAAATACTAGCTTTTTGTAGGGTGGCAGGAGATAATTACATGACTTCATTTGCAAATTTAAATAGAATATTTTTGAGCTCTTTTGTATTATCTGAAGGGTCCTAAATATCTTCAGTGGATCAGTCACGCCACCAGGTGGTGCTGACTTCCTGGAAATAAATTTCCAGATAAAATCTTAAAGCATGTGACGGTGTACAAGGAATACTAATAGCCATTTAATATCCTAAAAAAGTAGACTGCTTTGCTGCCACTGTTAAAAGGAATTCACCAGATTCTCCGCAGGTTCACTCCTAACTATGTGTTGTGAAAACTGATTCTCATCTTTTAGAAGAAGTAGACAATCAGGTTCAGCTCCCATTTTTTTTTTACAAAGGACAATGTAGAGCATCCCTCAGATGGGAGGACTGTGCATGGCGATTCACATGTCAAACTGACTCTTTTTGATTATTACACTGTTTTTTAGCACTGAGAGGAGTCCATGCAATTAATCTCTTTTCAATATACACAGCATTCTGAGCTTGTGTGCCTAACCCCTGAAAAGCTTCTTTTAGCTTTTCCTTTAAAGTCAAACACTAGACTTGAGATCACTAAATCAAAAATAAATTAAAAATTGTTTTGTTTTAAATCACAGGACAGCAAATGTGCAGTACCTGCCATTGCTATTCAAGTGTGACATAGGCGCAGTGAGTAAGGGAAGGTCTGCACTGCCAAGACCTGTTTTATATGGTAAATTTTAGAGGTGCTTTGCCACTGGAGGTGATGTCTCATCTTTATTTTGCTGTAAAATCATCTTAAATGGACTGGACAATTTTTATTTCCTATTGTGAAGATGAGGGATAAAATCTATTTTTTTGAGAAACCTTTGACACTGAAATAAAACCAACTAAAAGAATTAACGGCTTTGTGTGAATCTTTGGCTGTGAGTAACTTTGGCTGGTGGATTTTTGAGTCTAACAGATTACATTTGTGCTTTGCTCTCTGCTGAGGTGAGCAGACCACTTTGTGAACAAATACGGTTTTCACACAGCGGGTCTTCTCTCCCCACTGAAGGAGCCCAAGGGCTCCAGCATATGCCCGTGGTGTCCTGCTGGGACTGGGGACAGTGCCAGCACGGTGGAGCTGTGCAGAAAGAGCGAGGCCGGGGCCCCCAATGGCGGCCGCGGCGGGCTCGGGGTGACCGCTCCGGGCCCTCACCCGGCTCAGCGCCGCTACCGCCCCTCAGCAGCGGCTTCGACACCTCATTGGCTGGCTGGGTCAGGTGACCGCGGTTAGCCAATCAGGCGTCGAGTGTGAGGCGGTTTTAATCTCCACAGCGCCTGAGGCGAGAGCGGGGCTGTGAGGTGGGTGCAGGGGGCAGAGGCTTTTATTTATTTATTTATTTATTTTATTTTTTCCCACTAAAACGAGAGAAGGGACGTTAATGTTGTTAAACTTTAACGTGGTAGTGCTAAAAGGCCATGTACACCATCAGTCACAACCTGTAGTGACACCATAAACCACTCTGCTCTTACAGCTGCTGACAGGAACTTACTAGAAAAACACCTAATTGTTATTATTTATTTTTTTCAATATTTAAATACTGTAACACAGGTCTTAAATTCTCCATTTTAACAGCCGCAGGAAGTGACAGGCCTCAGTAAGCAGGTGTTTTCTCAGCTGGCCATATTCTCACCCAGCTGGGGCCCAGCTCAACTCTACCTGCAAGCAGTTACTTCATAAACATGCTTGAACTGCAAAACCTCCCTTTTTTGCTGTTAGTTGAGAAAGCTTTTCATGTGCAGTCCCTGTGGGATCAGCTAGAGGCAGCAGTGGCAGTTCTGGGAGCAGTTCAAAGGAGAGGGCTTTACACAGGCACACTAAACCTGTGGAGGTGTTTGCTAAAGGGTACTGTTGATGTAAGTATAGATGAGTTTAAGGGTAGAGTGGGGAAGTACTTCAAAGAGACATGCATTGGTGATTGCTAGATGTACTAAATCCTGAATTAAGAAAATCCCCTAAACTGAAAATGTTTGGAGTCAGGGAGAGCATTAGGGAATTCTTACATAGGGTTGTCCTCTTCTACTTCAGATTAGTAGTTATCTGCTAATGACGCCAGTGGAGACAGAACCTTCAATCAGTATGACTGCTCTTAAATTCTCCAAAGGGAATTTTTGCTCAGTTGGCAGTAACCTTAAGCTACAGGTCCTGCTAACCTTCCTTTCTAAGGAAAAGTGGAATAAAAAAGAGACATGAGAGCAAACAGCAGGTCTCTATCAAGAGTTCCCATTGTTAATGCCATTCTCTACTTAGTCCAAAAAGCTTCTATTTTTTCACTTCACCTTTTAATAAAAAAAAAAGCACTAACCATTTTCAGTTTCTCTAGGGAGGCTTGGTTCTCTTACTCAAAAGAGAGTAAGACTGCAAAAAGAATATCGTTACTAAAGCTGAAGACTCCAGAAGTGCAAAGGTTGCTTAAACTCTAAAGGAAATTGTAATTTTTATTGTTTGGTCAAGCAGCCTTCGAGCATCCTATTTTCTTTTTAGGATAGCTTTTCTAAAATAGCTACATGATGCATGATGTGTCCCATTGAAATTAAAGAGGCTTGTCCTCTGTGGTATTTTAGCGTAAGACAGACAAGAGTTTAAGCAAATCCTGCACCAGTCCTGAAAAAAATGGAATAAAGCTGAGAACTGTACTTCCAGTGATTGCGCTTTTATTTCCTTGGAACCATGTTAATTTATCTTTGCTTTAAATTCATAGTACAAAAAAAAAAATAATTCATACCTGAAAAGGCAAACTCATACTATGGAAATGCACTACAGATGTGCTGTTCATTATTCTACTCTGTATGGCAGTGTTTATTCTTTAAAATGGTTCATGCTTTTCAGAACTATGAGGAACAGATTGATCAGAAAACAAAGCTGCAGTATGGCAGGAAGAATTCTATTTGTTTACTCCTTTCTTAGGAAGTTTAAGTGTATATACATGTTACAGTGTCAACAAAATTGTTTTACATTTCTTAGATGCTTTTGTAAGACTTTTTCAAAGCAAATTATCATTTTTTTAAATCTATGTAGTATAGAATCTTCCTTGTGGAACTGTAAAATAGTTTATACTTTCCTTATGAACCAGAGCTCTGAGTAAGTCTTCAAAGAAATATAAAGCAATTTTTCTAAATAGTTTCCAGATAATAAGTAATTTCTGGATGATGTTTAGAAGCAGTTACACTGTTGTGTGTCTGTGAGTACAAAGCAACATGTTTGTAGCCCTATTTTGTTTCTAACAACATCATTTTAACAATATTTAATGAACTAATAAACCAGCATTAGTTGGTAAAACACAAGTAATTTAATCTTGAATACAGCAATAACAAATATACAAATATATCTACCTAAGATTTGGTTTCACCTTTTCATCTGCCTCATTCGGAGTATCATCACTACTAACATGTCGGACAACCAAGTTATACGGTTCCTCCATTGTTTCATCATCTGATTTCTGTTCCTCTTCCAAGGCCCAACTGGAATGTTTGTTTCCTGTGGAGGAGACAGGAGAATGTTCTGCATCTAAATCATCAGGGTTGCTGTCAAAATTAGCTTCTGCTAGACACTTATGGCACAGTCTGTAGCGTCTTGTTCCTTGCTGAACAACACATCCTGTTAGGTCAGTTACATGCCGCTTGCATTTTCTGCAGATAAGTTTGCCAGCTTGATGTATCTAAAAAGATTTAAAATTTGAAAAGGTCAGTGCTCAACCAAACACAGTTTATTTTTATTTTTAAATAAAAGAAAAAAGGAAAATTCACTGGATTGTTCTAAAAAGTAAAGGTAAAAATCAAATTTTCCAATTTAAATACTGAATAATTGAAGTTGATACTCAGCTAGCACACCTCTCTGGTACTAGTTATAGAAATGACCGAACAGCTGGTACCAATGAAATCTCGGGCTTTCTTTCCTAGGCTGAATCTCCTGTTGACATGGCGTACCGTTTGGAAGTGGTTACGTAAATGCTCCAGTCGAGTGAATCTCTTCCCACACGCTTCACATGGGTACGGTCGCTCCCCTGTGTGACACCGAAGATGTCGCTTCAGGTCTGCGCGTCGTTTCACCGTGTGTGTGCAGAAGGGGCACTTGAATCGCATCCGAGGTAGGTCATCTGTCACAGAGAAACACAGGGAACATGTCAAACACTGCAGTCTTTCTTCACATTTGATTATTTTTAAGCTTAAATAAGTAGCAGGTCATTTTTCCTCTGGTTTGTCACTAAATAAAAAACACAAAATATCATCCCTAGAAAGCAGTAGTTCTTACTGAATATGTTAGGCATTTGATGACATATTTTTCCTTATTCCAGGTGTTTAATTTTAGACATACAGATGAACATGAATACATAGATGACAATGTATATTATAGCTGACTCTTGCATTAGCTACTACTTCAGAAATTAGGTATTTGTAATCTCTGTAGTATAGTAGGATTTTGAAGTCTTAAAGTTATGCCTTTATAATAAGCTATATTCGATTAGTTCCCAAAACAATGTGTGTAAGAATATAGCTGTCAGCTTTATTCCACCACCTCAGACACATGCTGCCAGTTCACCAAGAGCTTAGACGCTTTATGCAGTGCAACCAAGCGATCGTGAAGTTCTGGGTTGGTTTGCACCTTCAGGGAAATGCAGCACGGCACCAACACCAGGAACCTCCTCTTGTAAAGAGCACAGGATCAGGCTGAACACCTCTACTACTGCCAGATACCAGGGGTGTTACAAGGGTGATTCAGTCCTTCAGGTCCTTAAGTCAATTGCAGCCCTTTAGGCATCATAAAACTCCATTTAGGTCCAAATAATCAGGCACGTATTATTTTAACTACAGAATACCTGGGTCAGGCTCTCTGATTCTAATTCTCTTGTCCTGTTCTGGCTTCAAAGCCTCTCATTCTGCCAGGCACTACAATAGAGTAAGTGGTATGTCAGTAACCTGACAGACTAGGCATCATTTTGATTCTCATGCAGCCATACAAGATTCTCTTATCTGACTTCTAAATAAAGGCCAACTTTGGAAAATCAGAAGTATTTTTTACCTTCATTCCAACTACTCATTACACCTAAAACTGTGGGCACTGAGGTGTACAGTTCTTCTGCTTTTAATTCCATGAACTCAGGAGAAGTTCGCGAAAGTTCTTGTTCTAGCTGAGCAACAGACCACCTCTTCGGTATTACTTCTGATTCGTGATTATATCCATAATCATTATGATCAACATCATTCTCTGCATCAAAATCAGCTTCCTCTCTAGCCCGAGAGAGGTGACTAGAGTCCGATGCATTGCAACCTTCGCCAGCCCGCTCAGGCTTTGTTTGATTTGCACTGCCCAAAATCACGAGTTTGGGACAATCCTAGATGCTTTCGGCGCTTTCTCGTTGAGCTCTGTTTTCTGCCCCTCTTTGATAGCTGTGTGTCTGCCCGCTGAAGAATCATCTGTGAGGACAGGTAGCTGCTGTAACTACTCCATGAGTTTTCATTCACCATGTTAGCCTTTTCATCTGGAATTGAATAGGAACGCCTTGGGTTGCTCTTTGCTTTTCTTCTGGACCGATAAAGAGTTGGATGAGCAGGTTCGCTGTTGGTACTTTTGGCTGAAAGGCTAAGGTATTGATCCTTCTCCTTTTCATTAATATCCAGAGAGGATTTAATGTATGTCTTGCAGACATTAAGAATATCTGTCATCTGCAGATAACTAGCAGCTGACATCACTTCAATCACATTTTGACCAGTTAAAGGCAATATGCCTGAATACACAAAGTCCAGGATAACCATAAATGTCTCTGGAGAGAAGACCTCGAAAGTAGCTATTGTTGGCTGACTCGTGTCCTTGGAGCTCTGTGAAAGCAGCATCTTGAAATATCCACTACTGGCAAACAGGACATTTCGATGCGCTTTGAAGACCTTCCCCTCCACCAGGATACTGCAGTCGCAAAATAAGTCTTGCTTCCGTTGCTCATTTAACTGCTCTAGGAGGTGAAACTGATGGGAAGAAATCTCCATTCCAGTGAGGGAGTAACAGGAAGTCTTGCTCTAAAGTAAAGAAAAAAATATTTAAAAAGCATATTCATGACAATCTAAAACTAAATCGATGTTGCTGAATGCTATTTTAAGAGATGAGCACTATCTTTAAAAACACTGAAAGCTGCAAGCATCGCATGTCCCATATAGCTCCACCCCCGCGCCCCGCATAATATAGCGGAGTAAATTGAACAACTCTAAAAGAGGTGAAAAGATGCCTCGGCAAGAAGAGCGCATAACCTAAAAGTCCAAGATTGCGTCCGAGAAGACAGAAAGGATTCACGGACAGGACAAAAACGACTCAGCCCTTCAGCAGCACGGACTGCCGCGCTCCGGGTGCGAGTCCCTGCGGCCAGCGGCGGGCAGAGCCTCTCCCAGCTCCCGGCCGGGCTCCCCCAGACCCGGCAGAAGACGCCGCCTGCTCATCCGCTCCTCGGCCGCTCGGACCCGGCAGCCCGAGACGCCCGGCGGGCGCAGAGCCCCCGCCCGGCCAGGCGCGGCTGTGGCTCCCCAGCGGCTCGGCACGGCACAGCACGGCTCCCCGCAGCCCCCCCGAGCCGCTCGCCCCACCGGAGCCCCGGCTCCCGCTCAGCCGGCGCCTCGGGCGCTCCCCGCCGCCCGCCGCCCGGTGCCCGGCGCGGCCCCGCTACCGCTGCCCGCGGCCGCCCCGCGCTGGCAGCGCCCCAGCCCGCCCCGCGCGGCCCCTCTCGCCGCGCACCCGCCGCCCGCTCCCGCGCAGCCCTTTGTTGCCGCGCCCGGCTCCTTCCAGCCGCGCCCGGGGCTGCAAATGGCGCCCGCGCCGCTCTCCCCGCCGCTCCGCAGCCCGGCCGCCCCCCGCTCCCGCCGGCTGCCGCCGGCGCCCCGGAGCCCCCGACGTCCCTCGCCGCAGCCCGCCCCGGGCTGCCCCGGCCCCGGCGCCCGCTCCGAGCCCGAGCGGCCGGCGCGGGGCTGCGCAGCCGCCACTCACCGGCTGGGTTCCGCGGGCGGCTGCCGCTCGGCCGGGAGGAGCAGGCGGAGGATGCGGGGTCCCGGCCCCCGCTCGGGGCTCGCTGCGGCTCACGGCGCCGTGCTGGTCGCGCAGCCCCGAGCCCTGGCAGCCCGAACGTGAGAGAAACAAAAGGTATTTGCTGACGTGGGCGTTGGACAGAGACGCCCGAGGGCTGGGGACACAATTAAAGGGGCAACGCACCGAATGCAGGCGCAGCCCAGCAGCTCCCTCCGCCTGCTCGCCCCGCAGTCTGGGCTGCTTTCCTCTTCCCACACCCACATGCTGCCCAGGAGGCCCGCTACCTTACCGTACACAATGCACTGCTATTGTTAACGGCACGGCTAGATAGCTTTTGTGTGTGGAAGGAAGGCGCCACCTGAATGGGAAATATTTGTAGTTCTGTGCAGTAGGATATATTGTGTCACTCGATACAGCAGCTTTTTTATAATAGGAAAGTTTTGTATTCAAACAATGGAGGACACCCAAAACCATCATACTGCAAGTGGGAGTGCAACAGTACAGATATTTTCTTCCTCTTCCACGTGGATAAAATAATCCGGATGCCTGTTCGAAGACAATTTCAATCTTGTTGCTTGACATCGTCAAATAATTTTGAGAAGGGACCTCTGGAGGTCATCTGGTATAGCACCCTCCTCGGTTAGGCTCATTTAGAACAGGGTAAAAGAACAATTGCCCTTTTTCACAGTTAAAAAAAAAATCATATTGGAATGTGACATAGAACTTCATTAGGGTTTCATTTCGTACAACAGCTAGACCAAGAGACAGAAATGTTTTTCCTTCAACTCCTCCCAGCTCTTCCTTACAATTTCTTTTGTCCTGTGTTTAACATTTGTGATGCAAAAATGTGTGTTGATGCACAGAAATATATGTTATAGGGACCCTGCTACCTAATGGAAAAATTACACTGAATGTCTGCAGGCAAGGACTGGATGATTATGACTCTTTGTTCCAAAACTCAGCCCTTTTTGCTAGAATTAGTTTTTTCTCCTTTCATTCACATTTATGCTGCCTTCCAACTAATAGCAACCTTCGATCGACTTCAGACTTCCCTGAGATATTTCAGAAAAATCAGCAAGGTGGTGTTGGAACGTCTGTGCTAGAATATGGAACTACTGCCCTTACAATTCTGCTGTACTTATTCATGTAGAAGCTTAAAAGGAACATAGAAGTAACTATTCTGGGTTTATAACTCGTGTTCCTCTACCTTGCAAATTATTAGAAGTCCCCGCTGCCAGCTTGACCAGATCGTATATGTAAACTGCTGGCCTCTGCAGTCCAGTTATGGTTTCTAACGAAGTTGTAAATTCATTAACTAAACCCTGAGCACATGTGCTTATCCTAGTCTGACTGATAACTTTAACCTAGAGACTTGGGTTAAAAAATACATAAAAATAGCTGTAATCCTCCCTTAACTCTGCTAACCCTCAGCAGTTGAGATTTTAGATAGACGCTCAGCTATATAGCACTGTTGTTATGCTAACAGATGCTAATGACTGTCAGAGAGGGACCCAGGAACAGTCCTTGATTCAGCTGTAGCCAGATGGCAGGTCGGGCATTTTTCAGTTTCATCAAGGTCAATTTAAATAATAAATGGAGCTGAAGACACAGTACGATTAGCCCAGTTAGGCTATCTGAAGTTCAAAGCCAAGTACTTCTGCAGACTATAGGAACCAAAATATAAGAAATGTAGACATTGGCATAGCTAGGTAATGGAATAATCTCTGACAGTGACCAGATGCTTTGGGGAAGAAACTGAATATATTCCATAATACCAGCAGAATTATATATATACATACATATATATATATAAATTTTCATTGAAAAATTGAAAGAGTGCCGAAATCATGGAGGATGGCATATTTCTTCTGAAGAGCCAGGAGTAAAGAAAGGATTATACATGCAGCAGTCACTGTCAGTATCTAATCATTTTTTTCTGCTACAGAGATCTCTGGGGCTCTCAAATATTTTCATAGCTCACACTAAACAAATATATTTGCTTTTTTTTTTTTTCATCTCAGTTCTTCAGAATGAGAATTGAATATGTACCAAATGGTTGGAAAAGGACATTCATTTTGAGCTTTTGGGTATTTTTTTTGGTATTAATTGTGAAAATAACAGCTGAAAGCCTGTTTTCCCAAACCTTTTAAAAAAAAGACAAGTGTCTTTTTTTTTTTTTTTTATAATAAATACATAACTTTAGATAACTTAATGGAAAACAAAAAATCGGGGTATATTTATGCAGCAGTTGAAGGAGAAAACAAAATCTAGTATCACATAAATCATAGGTTTACCTGTCATGTGGAATTGTTTATGAATTACCTGAAACAGGAGAAGGAAGATGGTTTTGATTCCATGTCTCATCTTTTTAAGGAACAGCAAGATAGCTGCCAGAAAATAAGACAGTTAAAGCTGAGACACTAAATGGGGGATGATGAATCTATGTCTTTACTCTTGACTGTGGTTTTTTGAACACAATAAACATAAACCAAGCAAACAGAGGCAGTCTTTCAATGACAAAGTACAGACATAGGAACAGGACAAGGAACCCAGGATTGCACACAGAAATAGAGGTATAAGAGGAACGTTTCTTGAAGTTGACACCCACCACCTAATCAGAGTAAACGAGGAATGGAAAAGCAGAAGACAAGAGAATGGCATATTGAAAACCAGTGAAGAATCAAAATATGCATTAAGAAGTAGCACTTAAGAGTGTTCAAAGCAATCAGAAAGAGTCATGATGATGATGAAAAATGTACAAGGAAAAATAAAAATAATAGCAAAAATCATAGAACTGCTGGTCACAGGAGAGCTCTGAGTGTCTTCAGTCCCACCTCCTAGAGGAAGAAGGCTAGCACCAACGTCATCTTGGATCAGCCATGCTTTGTCTAGCCAAATCTGGAACACCTTCAAGGGCAGCAATCTAGGAGGCTGCTCTCTGAACCGCCTGTTCCAATGCTGCACTACAATTTAAACCTCCTGAACTTTGACTTGGATGTACAATGGCAGTACAGAAACAGAATCTGAACGGATCAATATCAGCAGAAGTCAATGCAGTCCTATACAGCCTTCTCTAGCATCTAAAGATAAAACCAGGTGTCTTTCTTGTGACCTAACAAAGTTCTAAAAGCATCATTCAAAACAGTTGTTGTCAGGTAAATTAAATTATGTGGGAACAATCCTTTATGCCCTTTGCTTTCGTCCTTGGAGAAAAAAAAGAAAATGTTACTTCTGCTAATGAGCAGCCTGTGAGCCTGACAAGAGTATGAAGACAGTTATCAGAGGCAATGCAAGGAGATTAAAAGAAATCAAAATAGGGTTACTTTCATTTAAAGAAAAACAAGCAAAAATACATGACCGGCTATGTAAAATGAATGACATAGAAAACATAAGGCACTTAACATTTATCTTGTCTTGTAATACAAAAATAACGGAACAACAACTGAAATGAAAGCAACAAATGTAAAAATGGTAACCTTTTTAAAATATAAAACGTAACTGACCTGTGGGTATCGCAGCCTTGGGCTAAAACTCCAAGCTTAATAAGATACTTTAAAAATGACTACAAATATTTAAGTATGCTATTTGAGAATAACAACGTATAAAAGCAGTAAAAACCCTTGTTTGCCAAGGCAAATCAGCAATTAATTTGCCTACAGTTAATGTCTTCATATGGATAGATTGTTCCATTTGCCCATTATAGCCACTTAACATCTTTTTTTCTGAAGCATCTGGTCCTCACTATTCTTAGATTTACAATATCTAATTAAATTGAGTATTGATCCAGAAATCCCTTTGCTTCTAAAAACTCCCTCAGGTATACAAGAACACTTAATAGTCTCACCTTTGCAGTTGGCAGTTAAGATTTCAGGCCTAGAGTGACACTGTATATCCCCCAATGTACCTCCCTTTAATCAGTCCCCAAACACAGACAGAGATTAATCCCAGTTACTTTGTATTCTGGGACAGCAGGCACTGGTACCCAGCATTGTGCATACTGCTTAATTTAAAGGGAAATGAAAAATCTATTCAATTCTATTTTGGCAAGCATTTTCTGTCAAAATTTGCCATTGATTGAAGTTATTCTGTATTCCTTTATATATTAATTTGTTATATATTTGATTTAGTTACGGTTGCCTGCGGAGTATTTCTTAACCATTTAATATTATGAATTTTAGGAGTAATAAGCTCCAAGAAAATAACTAGCTGTTTTCACGTCAAGTCCATTTTGTGGACTGCTGAGCAAAGGGAAACATAAAATCAAGGCAAGTTTGTTTGGCAAAGATGTTTTTGTACAGCTCATCAGAAAATTTGGTAAATTCTCCCCTTTTCCTCCTCTCCCCCCTATGTCTAAGCCAATGGACAATAATTTCTGTAGGAGCAATAAAATATCACTTCCCAACTGGACAAATGGAAAAAGAATGGTCTCCTTGGAACATACAGACTGGGTGCTGCTCGACACCCTGCATGTTTGAGGGAGGTGCTTAACACTAGCACCATCAACTGAGGATGTGCTCCAGCTCTCAGTTGTGAGGCACCTAGGCTGGCCATCTGCAGCCTGGTAAGAAAATGCTGCACACTCTGGTAAATATGATAATAACAAGGCTATACAGTTTTTACAGAAATAAAAATAAAATAGTGACTTTTTAGCTGTCCCTGGGAAAGAGATTATATAGTGTATATATATATGTAATTGCTCTGTAATTAACCCCAGGTTTCAGCCAAACATGCTTACAAAATTGTTAAAAAAAGACAAAGTTTCCTAAGCCTGTACCCATCGAGTACAATGATCACAATATGAAGACCAGTAAAACTCATTTCTGTCCAAGAAAATGCCAAGTAAAACCACCCAGCAGCATACTTCTCCTCCTCTCCTATTTGCAGTGCTGGTTACGCAGAACTCACCAAGTTAGAAAACAAAGTGACTTAATTTTGTTTTAAAAGGAAACTTTCTTCAACATTAATCATCTCATCTCTTGTAGTCTAATTGTAGGTGAAGTTAAACAAATATGATGTCTAGAACTTTCAATACATATTTGTCACTGGCATACAGCATAGACTGAAAAAGGTTGGAATATGTTCTCTTGGTGACTGGGTGACTTTGGGAATATATAAATCGATAAGGACTCCATCTTAAAACTCACCAGTTTAAACTGAGGGTAGGTCAATACAAACAAGAGTAGTTAATGGTTTCAGATGTAAAATGTCATCAGTTCCATTTCTAACGATAGAGTATACATGCTATACAAGTTGGCTCTGCCTCCATTAATGGTGAATAAAACAGGGAACAAAGAGAGAACACAGCAGGCAAAGTAACCTTGTCAGGATTGTTTCATTCATGCTGGCATTGAAAAGCTGCCACTGCCAATGGCAACGCTGTGGATGCAGGGCTACCAGTCATGCCACTTTGCCACTTTTCAGATGTTTATAAAAAAAAAAAAGTTATTTTACCAATGGCTATTAAAACACACTCCAATCTGAGTTCCCAATTTTCAGAATGAATAAAACATCTACTGGCATCAATTACTGATCCATATTCATAACCACTTTATCTCTGATGCATTGACTGGGACTAGCATTCATGTGTTTATTTTCTTGTAAGGAAATAAGTCTTGAATGAATGATCTGCTAAAGATTCTCCTTATTAGAATAATTTTTTACAAGAAAGTGCTTTTCCAGATATATGTGCTAAAAAAAATTACGCGCTTTTTCTTAATTCTCTGCCCGGCTTTTCTAATCATAATATGAAGACTTCATGAAATTTCCTGGAAGATTATCTTCATTTCTGAATGCTGAAGAGCAGTTGCCTTTATATTCTACAGTGGAGATGGCGGTGGTGGGGTACTTAGACTTTTCTCATCACTGGGAAATACCACATATAAAGCCAACATCTCTAAAAGTGTAAAAATTGGGTAATTTACAATGGTGTGCGACTTTTTTTCTAGAAGAGTATTTAGACCCTACCCCCATGAAAGAGGTTTTGAGAAGAGACCCACTGTCTACTACAAAAAGTAGTAGACTTTTATCCATGTAGTACGTCAGTGTCCATGTTCAGCCATCATTTCATTCAAGAATGGGTTATTTCTAGTGAAGCAAAGTATGGGTATTTCAATAGCAAAACTCAGAATGGACCCAATGATATGTCCATAAACATGCAAGTCTGGACCTGTTCAAGAGAAACCAATAAGTCTTTGTACAATAACAGGCTGGTGGAGGGCTTATGGTCAGGACAGGAATTCCATGTAAAACAGAGAACGTACTAACGCTCATCTTGCAACTACCTAATGCTTGGTTTTACATCCTTTTCGTCTGCTTCATCCTCACTGTCATCAACCTGCTGAATGACCAAGTCGGATGACCCATCCTCCACAATCTCCACATCAGATCTGTTGTCTTCCCCATAGTGCCACCTGGAATCCTTATCCCCATCTGCTGGAAATTCAAGGGGTGCTTCAGCCTCCAAGTCAATGCGAATACTGTCTATGCCAGCTTCAGCCAAGCACTCATTACAGAGTCTGTAACGTCTTGTCCCCTCTTGGACCACTTGTCCTGTTAGCTCAGTCACGTGGCGTTTACACTTTCTGCAGATAGGTTTACAAGCCTGATGAATCTGGGAAAATTGAAATGAATAAATTTGATATTTTATCCAGAGAGAAGTGTTTTTAAGATCACAGAAGTAGGGCTGGAGTAGCATCAAGTGGTAGCATTAACTCATTTCGAGGAAGTCATCAAACTTTTAAAATAAAACAACATTGAGTGCTGTGATTGTCCACTTAAGCTCTATTACAGGACTTACATAGCACACTACCTTTGCAAACCATCAATTAACAAAGAAATGCATCCCCTCTCATAGGAATTATGCT